GCTAAATGAAGAAGAGTCAGGAATATAAAAATATTAAAGAGTAAACCATCAAAACTTTTCAGATTAAGATTATTTTATTCTAGTACAATAAAACACAAAATGCAAAATTCTTTCAACTTGAAATGTTACCCAACAGGCAGCCATAAGTAGTTCTAAATAGGGAATTCTTGTGATCAGAGGGAGCAGCCTGACATCAGCCAGCAACAATGCAGAAATCTTAAAGTAGAAGTGTCACAGAACTTGTTCTTCCCAATGCTGCATGGCAAATATTATTAGAAAATATACTCAACATTTATTTTTATTCTCAATCTAAGTAAAAATTTACAACAGTTTTAGAGTGATTTTTAGATATGATTTGAAGTTATTTAAGTCCTAATACATAAATAGGAATTTAAAATAAAAAGTTCGTTTCTCTTTGAAGGTTTATCTTACCTTGAAAAGTAAACATAAACAGCACACTCTAGTTCTACAGTTTGATCATGAAAGATTCTGCTTTTTCTGTTCTCTTTCATTTGCAGTGAAAATCACATTATAAGAAAATATTTGGAAGTACTATCTGATATTTTAAATATTGTTTAAGACTAATCAATATACGACTCACAGGTCCAGGGCAACCACAAAGACATTTGTTTAGGCATTTAGTCTATAAAAGAACTAATTGTGTAAATGCTTAAAATAGTTATTCTTAATGTTTTGTGGTTAAGATCCCATTCAAGCCACAACAATGCAGATATATATGTAAAAGTAAAATTCTATCTAGAATTTTAGGGTTTCATGGTATCCTGTTCATAGTCATGAGGCAAGAGAACTCTAAGACAATATGTTGTGGAAATTAATTTGTGTGTTGTGGGGAGGGAGGTGCAGGGGAGGTGTTCTTACTTACCCCAAATGTCTTTTTTTTAGTGAAAGCTATCCTTCCTACTTTCTAATGAATCTGGCCTGAAATTGAGCTGTTCCTAACTTAAAATTGCAAATGTTAACTTTTCTCAAGATGCTCCAAAGCAGTTAAATGAGGAAACAAATAGTATTTTTTATAGTCACGGGCTGTGATGCATTGGCAACACAATCATTTCCTGTAGAGAGTGACCCTGGTTCCTAAAAATAACTCCAGTGCTATTCAATTGCTTATATTAGGCATTTTAAAAAATTCTTATGTGGGAAGGCACATTCCCTTCCACAGCTGAAGAAACTCGGTGTTTGAAAAGAGCTGCCTAAAACACTGTTCCTTGTAGGCTGTTAAAAATGTTCAGCATCTGAATGCTGGTAAGGAATGCTCACACCCATTGGAGGCAATGCCCTGTGGACTCGCAAAGGAAAAGATGGGGCCGCTATATATGGAGAACAGGAAGCAGAACCAGCTGAGAAAGCCTTACTCATCTGTGACCCATATTCAAAGCCATAGTCTAGCCACTGTTAGCTACCTAGAAGAGGAAAAGATTGAATGGCTAGCCCAAGCTTTAAGGGACACGTTGCAAATCAGGCCAGACTGTTGGGCCATTTTCCACCTTACTTTCAACTAGGCAAAGAAATGAAGCCTCAGTCCAGCCTGGTTGATACACTGACACATGCCACACCTAGTCAGTTGCTGGTTGCCTGATAGCAAACTTAATTTTTTACAGTTCCTCTGGCAATACTTTGTTATGAGTATTGAGAAGTGTTCACTAAATTGAAGCGCTCAAGCAAAAAAAAAAAAAAAAAGTTGTAAATTCAATATACTTCCAGTTTCTCTGCATTGTATGACTATTTGCATGTTATTTATACATTTGGAGACTGAAAAAGGAGGAACTGGCAGGACTGTCTCACCCCTTCTTGTTTTTCAAAATGTCAATAATTCCTAGGGCTGCTTTACACCAATATACACAGATTCACACATTTTTAGATATGGGTCTCCCTGTGTTGCCCAGGCTGGACTACAGTGGCATGATCATAGCTCCTGAACTCAAGTGATCCTCCCACCTCAGCCTCCTAAGCAGTTGGGACTACACATACAAACCACCACACCTGGCTTATTTTATTCTTTAAGTTGGGGCTGGTGGCAGGGGTGGGGGTCTCACTATGTTGCTCAGTCTGGTCTTGAACTTCTGCTCTCTAGCAATCTTCCCGCCTCAGCCTCCTGAGCAGCAGATTTGCATTTTAAGAGTGATTTTAGTTTCTCAGGTAAAGGAATGGAGTTATTAATGATTCAGAAGCACTTCTATGTTAGTATTGTAGGATGTTATCAAAGACCTTCCATCCCTATCCCTTTATCTTTTTCTTTTTTTAATGTTTAAAGAAGGAGTTGCATTCAAAGTAACTGGAAGTGACAGATGAGAAATTTATCTAGATTAGTCTATAGAAACAGTCCTTGGAAAATCAACTGAAGACTACTTTTCTAAGGACTGTTTAATCAATTTGCTCCAAAGCCATCACATATATTTATTCTACAATGATATTTAAAATCCAAGTCCCATTGATCAGCCAGGGTACTGTCAAGATTTTTTTCTTAATAAAATCTCCCAGTAGGGCATTTTCTTCACACAGCAACTGCCTAAATCTTCACACTCACTCCATGCTGCAACTCACATTTTTTCTTTACTATTATCAATGTTGAAATTAGTTTTCACCTATAAACCTGGAACCTGATTTGCAATATATCCTTATGAATCCTCTTTGAATTTCTAAAATTATTCTTCTTCTTCCTTATTGTCTGGATACGCTTATTTATAGAGTGATCATATAATTTATCATCTATACTGGAACATACTTTCGAGACTGAAAGGGGTGGGCATCCAGTAACATCCTTCTTGCTGAGCAACTTTGAAATTTTACTTTGGAAAATGGTAGATGAATAAAGACACATTCTGAAGAGCATATAGTAGTATCACCAGTGACAAAACTAAAGGAAACACCAACTTTAATTATTTGTTATAATAATGACTTAAGAGATAGATGGAGGCAATTGATAATAATTGGGAGACAGTGTAGGTAAGGCATGGATTTGTCTTGAATTCTTACTAATGATGTTCTATTAGTTTGGTGCATGCAGCCATCTGGTCAACCTTAGACATGGGAAGGCAAGAGCCCTCTGGTTGATCTCAGACATGGAAAGGTGAGAACTATCTGGTCAACCTTACACATGGGAAGGCAAGAGACATCTGGTAGACCTTGCACCTACCTAATATCATGATACGATCTATTAATGTGGCTTGCACTATTGCTACTTACCAGGATTTCCTGTTTAGCACATATGCTGACCAACCTTTGCTTATTCATAAATTTCATAGTTAACTCACTGTCCACCCATTATTCATATGAAATCACAAGTAGACTCATACTCTTGACCAATCACTGCTTTTCTTAGAGAACAAAATTTCTTTTTCCTCAAAATTCATGACTTCTGTACACAAATTGCTACCTCACACGTCAGTTTTGTCAGGTGCTCTAGCTTGGTTCCAGGAGAGCAAAAGGACCCATTATTCATTTATCAGATATTATCTGAGCCCCTATTATGTGTCCTTGCAACAGTGCTTGACAGTGGTGTTAAAAAGATCAGCAAATTGCCCTTGAGGAACTAATTTAGAGTCGTGCATATGTAAACCTCATAATGTTCTTGCAGCAACGATTAGCCAGCGCCTCCTCTAGTCACACACAGGAGAAACAATTCTGGGAAATGTAGTGCAAATCAGGCATGGACCAATTATGCTTTTGAACTATACCCTTTTCTGTGCTGAGACTAGGCCAATTCTGATGAATTCTGAACAATGGTAAAACCGATACCTTTAAAATTCAAGAATGTTGGGTTCTAATGGCAGTTTGACTATTGATATATTAATATAGGAACATCATTTAGTCTCTTAAGCTTGAACGTCCATTAAGTGGGAAAAATAGTGCTCATTTTCTAGAAGTCTTCAGAGACTGGCTAACCAATAGATTTTGCTGGTAAGTAATGTGCAAATTTTCTAGAAAGATGATATTGCTTCATTTTCTCTCATATTTTAGATTGGCAGCAGCCAAATGGGTGTCCCAGCCCCTAATCTCTTACAAGAGAAACACTACTTCTCAGTTTAATAAATCTGATAAGTTTCGAGCTCTTTTTCTAACAGGGTGTTGCAGCTCACCAAGTAAAGCCCACAACACTCTGCTGCCAGGATAGCAGCTTGCCAGCAGCATCCACTGAATTACGGGGTTTCAGTATGATGTTGGCTGGTGCGGACTTCAATCATCGAATCGACATGTGCCCAGCCATTCTCATAATGAATCTTTCCTTCTCTTTCAACCGTTCTGTTTCCAGCCCCCATCTCCAAGTGCTTTAAAAAAAAAAAGTGAGGAGAAACAGAAACTGTACTCCTCAGGATGAAACTTTTCCTTCTCATCCCTGTTTCCCATAAACGGACTTTCAGATAAACCTATCAAAAGCAGCCCCCAACTCACCAGCTTTTCTAAAACGTTCCCCATCCCCACCCTTCGTGGCACCCATGGGCTTCCCCAAGTCTTCACCTTTCTCTTAGACACACGCAAGCACATTCTCACCCCAGGAAAGCAGTCCTGGCTTAGCCAGTTCCCTTCCACAAGGACCACGTTGTTTTTGCCCCCATGGAGCCCTGCAGGGTCGGGGGCTCAGGTCCCGATTTGCCTTGGGACTGAAGGGGGGCTTCCTGGGTGAAGGATCTCACAGGCTCAAAACGAGACATCAGTGGACAAACGGGAAGGGAGGCCGGACGCGCGGCTCCTAGGAAGCGGAACCAAAGAACACGGGCCCAGGAGGCGACGCCAGGAACGCGCGGGGCTCTAGGGCGCACCCGACCCCTCCCGCCCTTCGCAGAGGAGGAAACTGAGGCGCGGGACGGCCTCTGCGGCGTCTCTGCCCCGCCCTCCACGGCCTCCCCCAAGGCGCGCTCCGGCGCGGGCCGGTCCCTTTGTCCCGGCAGCGCTTCCTGCCTCCTCCTCGCCCCGGGCCGGCTGACGCGGCGGGAGAGGAATGCGTTTCCGGAGGGAGCGGGCGGCGGCTGCGGCCTCGGGAGCGGGATCCGACGCGCAGAGGAGGCGGGGCCGCGGCTGGTTTCCTGCCGGGGGGCGGCTCAGGGCCGCCGAGTCCCCTCCCCCCGCCCCTGAGGGGAGGAGCCGCCGCCCGCCGCGCCCGTGACCTGGGAGGCCCCGCCAGCCCGCGGGAGAGGCCGAGCGGGAGCCGCGGAGCAGCAGGCCCGAACCCACCGCGCCGGGGCCCGGACGCCGCGCGGAGAAGGTAGGGGCCGGGGGCCTCGGGCGTGGGGTCGCGGGCCGCGGCCTCAGGGCTCCGGTGCGCGGCCGCATTTCGGGCCGCCTGCTGGGCCGCGCCGGGACCTTTGTGCCGGCCGTGGGGGCGGGGGCCGCCGGCGGGTGGGGGCTGGGGCGGGATTCCAGGCTCGCCCGGGAGGAAGTCCGCGCGCGGCCGCCCGCCTGGCTCTTCCACCCGCCTCGAGTCGCGGGCGCTGGCAGTTCCCGGGCGCGGAGCCGACCCGGCCGCGTTCCGAGCGCGGGGGTCGCTGGCTTGGGCGCTGTCACGTCGGGGCTGCGGGAGCTGCGGGGGAGCGGGCCCGGGTGGCCCCTGACACCTGCGGTCTCCCGCCGGGCTGGGCGAGCGCAGGGGGCAGCCAGCGAGGTCTCCCGGGGCTCGGCGCGTCCCTGGACGGGTCCCGTGCCTTTGTCTCCCGCTGCCTCGCTGGCTGCGGTCCTTGGAGCAGCGTCGAGCCGGTTGTCCGCGCTCGCCACGGGGACTGGTTTGGTCTCCTCCCGCTGCCAGGAGGCAGCCCTGGGGCCAGCGCCGCGGGCGGGGGAGGCGGGAGCCGGGTCGGAAAGTGGCCTGCGGAGCCGCTGGGGACCAGAGGCGCGGTGGCGGCAGTGCCATCCACCTCCCCGTGTTTATAAACGCGAGTGCCCGGCAGTCAGAGTCGCCAGCCCCTGCCGGGCACGCCGGGACCAGGACGCAGGGCCACCGTCACCCTGCGCTCAGACGCCGTCCGCGAGCCTGAGAGCCCGGCCTGTGTCTAGTGTCATTTTACCTCGTGTCATTTCTTGGGCTTCATAAATTGGATTTATGAGACTCCTACTCTAAGCAACTTTTATTTCATGAAATTAGTGGTTTTGAGTCAAAAACTTTGCACTCATTTGTACGATTAGTAAGTTGCACTCTCTAAGCTTCCATTTCCTTGTCTGTGAAATAGGAACAATAATATCTACACTAATTATTCATTTTTATAATAATGACAGTGAGGGCCAAGTTTAGCTCTAGGAATTTTACATGTATTATCTCATTTAATTCTGGAACCGCTCAAATGAGGTCGGTATTGTTTATATTCCCATTTTCTGAGTGAGAAACTGAAGCACAGGGAGCAAAAGTAAGTTGCCTTTGGTCATCAGGAGCTCCTGGAGAAGGCATGCGGTCTAGCTCCAGACCCCGCGTTTAAACCACAAGTAACCTTCCTAACGATGGTCTAGTTGTGAAAATCAAATGTAAAATGTAAGACACTTAGAGTAGATGCCCAGTGAATATTGACTTCTTTTCAGCCCTTCTTTTACAGTAAAAAGATGTTAAAAATATCTCGGAAGGTAATTGGTAACATCATTAGTAATTTCTTTGGGCCAACATGCCACATGGATAACTTAGGTGGGGAGAATTACTAGGTTATTTTGTTTTGTTTTGTGACAGGGTCTCTGTCGCCCAGGCTGGAATGCAGAGGTGCCATCACAGCTCACCGCAGCCTCAACCTCCCAGGCTTAAGTTATTCTCCCACCTCAGCCTCCTGAGTAGCTGGGACTACAGGTGCCTGCACTCTTTTTTTATTTTTTTGTAGGGACAGGGTCTCACTATACTGCCCAGGCTGGCCTCAAACTCAAGCAGTCCTCTCTCCTCGAGCTCCCAAGGTACTGGGATTACAGGTGTGAGTCCTTAAGCCTGGCTCTTGGCTCTTAGGTTCTTATTTTTTTTTATTGTAGTTTTACGGTACAAAAATAGCATGCTAGAGGAGTGTAGGTTAGACATCTTTCTTAAACCACGTATGCCCTTAAAAATACGCTATGTAATAAACCACTTTCAGAAATGATTAAGAACTTCAGTTGGCAGTTAACTGTTCATTTGTGGACACCAAGGCCCAGAGGGGTAAGGAGTTAGAGTCTCACTGTAATTCTTATATTTTTAAATAATGTTGGTTCATTGAGTAATATTACGTAAATGATTGAAGATGGTGAAGTGTTAAATGAAAAACAGTTTGGTGTTTTCATACAGGCATTTGGGGAGAAAGCCATTTTACTTATCCAAAAATTGAGTATGAAGGTGGAAGATGTTATTAGAATGCTGGTTAGAAGGACAAAGTGTGGTTAATACTTTAGTTCTGTAAACAGAAAGCAAATAGACTGTTTAATGCATCTATGTTGACTTCAGACCTAGACCTACAATTTTAAGTGTTTGTGATTTTTTTTTTTTTTTAACAATGTGAAGGTCTATATTAAAGTTATTTTTTGATACCCTCAACATTCTCTACATGAAAAGTGTGGAATCAACAATTCTGAAAGCCACTGGATTTAGTAATTTTAACAATTAGACAGCTTTCTTCTTAGCTTTCTGGTCAGTATAATTTAAATCAGCCCCAAATTACCATTACGAATGAAAATGTAATTCTACATTGGTGTTCACTTCCTAACTCTGGGAGTGACAGTGGGGACATCTGGTCACATTTTGCGGTCAAACAACATGGTGCCAGTTTTCCTAAGAGTGCTTGCCACTGATTGTGATGTCTTTGTTGTTTGGCTTATTGATAAGTAAGTTGTGGCTTATAGCAAAGAGTAGTATAATGTTCTACCTGGAAAAAATATTAATATTCTGTAGGTGCTCTGGCCTGCTCTTAACTATGTTGCTAGTTTGGTAAGCTGAAACGTCTTGTAACTGGTAAAAGTTTCAGAGAACTTTTGAGTTCCAAAGATGTAACTTTCTAGATATGAATAAGATGCATATATCTGAAAGGATTCATTTGGACTTCTGTTAGATTTTAGCAGATTTCCTCACTCTACGAGAGAGTTAGGATCTGTTCGGTTATGGGGGGATTCCTAGAGGATTATGTCGGGTAAACATGTAAACATCTGTATTGTGTTAGTGTTTACTCTGACTTGGTTTTAGATTCTGAGAGTTTGGCTGGTTGTTTCAGAGGTGGGAGGTCTGGAGTAGAGAGGTTAAGATACAGAAAGGTACATTCATCTTCTGGATGCTGCAGAATTATGCTAGGGGTGTCTATAGCTGTGGAAAACTGAAAGAATATTATGGTATGTACCCAGGTTAAAGGTGGTACAGTCCTTAAAAGTCAGAATATTAGCAGCCTTCAAATACGTCTGTTAGTAGGTGAAAGAAATGTTTCTTTCAGGAGCTGTATACAAAAGGAGCCAAACTATACTTTGTAAATTTGTTACTGTTTTAAAAGTGGCTGTGAGTTTTTAGAGGTCAGCTAACTTTAAACTTGCTGTTTGGTTTGTGGCTTTAGAAGATAAGAGTTAACTGTATTTAGCAATATGTTTAAACATGTGCATATCACCTCATGAAATGTATGTATGAGAAAAGAAGCTGCCTCAGATACAGATACATGAGTATATAAACACATATATACACATGCATATATATGTATGTATTTCTTATAGGACCAATCTCATTACATACAATTTCAAAGCACAGATTCCTAATTCCCAGGAATGCGTAAAAAGGCTCACTGAAGTATAGGAAGAAAATCTTAGGTCTACTATGATGTTTGTTAATCTCATCACTTTAAAGTTTAAAATTTTGATTGTGATTTATATCTTACTATATTGCTGTAGAAGTACATGTATTTGAATTTTTAAATTGTGTATATTTTGGGTACATATATGCTGAGAATTTTTTTAGTGATACAGGTGAATGGTCAGAAAGGTTTGCAGATCCCTAGTATGGAGGATGATTTGGGTGGGGGTTTAAGAACTACCGTATTTAGGAGAGAGAATTGACAAGACTTGATAAGAGAAATGAAAGAAACCCACTGTGACCCTGGTTTCTGGCTAGGAGGTGCTGTTCACTGAGGTGAGAGGGTGACTAAGCTGGGGGTGTTGGTTGGCTAAAGGGAGGGGAAATGATGACCTTATGAGGCCGAGTTTATTTTAAGGTGACCATGGGACATAGGTGGAGATGTCCAAACCGCAGTTGAATACACATATTGAGAGGTAAAAAAAAAAAAAAAAAAAAAGTCTGGGAAATTTCAATTTGGGAATTCTTAAGTCTGTTAAATGCTGGTTGAAGCTATAGACTGTGCATGCAAACACCACAGGAGGGTCTGTAATGAAAAACAGGCTGAGGGAGGACCTGGGAACACTTAACAGTCAAGGGTGGGTAGAGGAAGAGGACTCCAGAAAAGCATTTACCTTCCCCAGTTTCTTCTCTGAACTTATAATGCCTTTGAGTGACATTTTTGTGAAAGACATAGATATTTCTGGGGTTTTCCAGTGATTGGCATGTGTGTGGTAATTTATTTTCAGATGCCTGATGAAAGAAGCAGTTTGATATAGTAAAGGCTTCTTGATTGGCAGACAGGAAACCTGGGTGTCAGTGCAGGCTCTGCCACTGAATTTTTGTGTGACCTTTGAGTACTATACTTCCAGGGTGTTGGTTTTGACATCTACCCTATAAAGCATTCTGCGTGTTCCCTCATTCTCTTGTTCCAGGAGTTGGAGGATAGCTGCTGCCTGATGTAAGTACTGTAGAGTGCAGTTCTCTCTCTCCATGAGCAACCTTTTTTTCTTTTTCTGGTATCACCAGAGAGAGTAGGCGCTGTGCCACTGTGCCACTTACTCCTTTAAGGATACCTGCCAATGCTGACCAGCAGCATCTGTCACTTTCAGCTCTGCATCAGGATGTAGCTCAGCTGTACATTACATTTTATTCTGTCAGTACATTGAGTACCAGTAACCTGAAAAATGCTTTACTCACTGGGCATGAATCAAGAAGTTGGCATGCTCTTTGGTGTTGAGTGTATTGTCTAGTTGGGACAAGTTGTGTTCAGTTCAGGAAAACATAAATACCAGAGTGTTGTATACAATGTACTGCACCAGATAATATTCCCTAACAGTATTTGAGAAAAATAGCATTGGCTTGTGTGGTTTTGGAATACGTTGTGTAGGAGATGAAGCCTGAGCTTGGAATGGTATGAGCGAAGGTTGAATGACAGATGGATGCCACATTCAAGGGACAGCATA